ATATATATATATATATATATATATATATATATATATATATATATATATATATATATATATATATATATATATATATATATATATATATATATATATATATATATATATATATATATATATAAATATATATATATATATATATATAAATATATATATATATATATATATATATATATATTTATATACATATATATATATATATATATTATATATATATATATATATATATATATATATATATGTATAGATATATATATATATATATATATGTATATATATATGTATAGATGTATATATATATATATATATATATATATATATATATATATATATATATATATATATATATATATATATATATATATATATATATATGTATATATATATATATATATATATATATATATATATATATATATATATATATATATAGATTTTTATAATATATATAGATTTATATATATATATATATATATATATATATATATATATATATATATATATATATATATATATATATATATATATATATATATATATATATGTATATATATACATATATATATATATATATATATATATATATATATATATATACATATATATATATATATATATATATATATATATATATATATATATATATATATGTATATAGTATATATATATATATATATAAATATATATATATATAATCTCTCAAAATCTTTTTTGTGGGTTAGGGTTATGTATACATATATATGTATATATATATATATATATATATATATATATATATATATATATATATATATATATATATATATATATATATATATATATATATATATATATATATATATATATATATATATATATATATAAGTTTGGTCAAACTATGCCAAATAAATCTTTCGGTTAAAAAAAAATTAAAAACGATTTTGTAGCATTTCTTACACTAAGGAATGTTTGATTGCAGTATGAAAAAAGACAGCATGTTTGCAGTAGTGTTGTCAACATTTTAAAATATTTTCGTTTTCAGAGCAAACTTTAAATAAAAAAATAAATAACAACAACTTTTGGCAACTATTTCTGCGCCCGTTTTTGCCACCCTCTTTTGTATAACATATTTTAACTCCCTTTTTTGTTAAATAAATCATTTTTGCTTCGAAAAGTTCAGTACTTCTCAAAGTACATAATTATGGTATAATTATTAGTTGAGGGAATGTAACCCTAACCTGCAACAAAGATTTTGAGATGAAGCTAAACTATTTAGCAAGAGTTACTGCAAATTTTACAATGAATGTTTAGAAGAACCCTTTTAAAATGTTTTCTATTTCTTATTACAGAGGAATTAATATTTTGTAACTACACAAAAAACAATAATGAAAATAAAAAAAATCACAAGAAAAAAATTTAATGAAAATGCTTTAAAAATAATTAATAACAATACTTTCAAATATAAATATATCTTTCTATACTGCAAACTCGAACTACATGTTCTTATTATGTTACATTTAGTGTATTTAATATATATTAAGTTTACTTTAGGTAAAAAATATTTAATCTATAGAAAATTTTAGTAAGAATTATTTAATATATAGAAATGTTATATATAACTCATGCCGGAAGTCTGTTGAGGTTAACGATTAAATTTTTCATGATTTATCAAGAACCATATTATGTTGTAATAAATGCGTAGAATATAAACTTCACTTAATGATATGACACCGTAATCATAAAGTTACTTATCCAATCAGCTTTTAAAACTAATATGAATTATTTTGTTTAATTATTTTCTAGATGTAATAAAAGAGGTTGCGTACTCTTCAAATACATGTGTTGTTTGAGTTGAGGCGTCAATCAGAGGAACATATTTGCGAAGAACATATCCAGGAGGAAGTTGGTGTGCAGAAATGCCAGGCGTAACGCAAGGCGATGGACTAGATTGAGCGTTTACATTTTTTGATTGCAACAAACGATTTATCACAGGGTAAGTAAAAAAGTGTTGATTCGTTTTATTTATTTCGGTAGAACTATATTTTTTGTTTTGGTCAAATTCAAGTTGAGCGTCATTTAGCGATTCTAAAACCTCGCTTAATCTTATTACTGAAGGCTTAACAATTGAAGAGCTGATTGATTGAGGTACATAAATTTTTGAACGTGTGTTAAATTGGAATTCATCTGCATTTTCAATAGGTTTTTGCATATCATATTTTTCAAAAAATGGATTTTTTTCTATATTGTATTGAAAATGTTGATTTGTTTGAACAGAATGTTTTGGTAATAAACAAGAACAATTATTTCTGTTCTCGTTATAAAAACTGTCTTCCAAAGAATTTGTATCATTGTATGTTATACTTTTTGAAGCATTTTTTTGACGCCATTTGTTATAGTCTTTCATAATCTGGTCCTGAAATCTAAACTGTTCTGATAAAACATCTCTTTTATTTAACATATGGTTGTCAGATTTATTAACTGGACAAAAACCTTTATTGTGCGAACTTGCATTTATAGTTGAAGTATTGCTGTAATCTAATAGCTGTTTTTCATTTTCATATGAAGCTGCATGCAATTTATGTTCAATATCTGAAGCAATACTAATATTAAAAAGGCTATTTTTCTCTTCACTATAATTATTTTTGATGTAATTATTGCTAAAAAATAGACTGTTGGGTGTTTCAAAAAAATTCAGCTTTTTATCAGTATTGAAAAGCACCTCTGGTTCATTGAGCGGCGGAGAAGGTGAAGATGACTGATAGGATTCAGATGACTGTTGGGATGACGGAGAAGACTGGTAGAAGCTATTTTCATTGATATCGGATCTGTTTTGTTTGAATGTAGTTGTTTTTTCCGTTGATATTTGGTGACTTGGGAATGGACCAACAGATACATTCCTTCGACCTTGACGCATCATACTCGTTTTGATTGTTTCAACTGCTCTTCTCATTTCAGAATTTTGAATAAATTTATAAACAAATCTACGTCCACTGACCTAATAAAAAATTAAAAAAGTATATTATTAAATTAATAAAATAATTTAATATTGATTTTCCAAGCATAAAAATTATAAATAAAAAAAAAACTAAAAATATTTAAAATATATATTTCAATTAAATTACTGCAGAACGAGAATAACGGCAAAAATTATATACGCCCAATTGTGTTCATTGCTTTTAGTTATTCTGGTAGAGTGCTATTTTTCATTTTATTTTGATTTTGAGCGTTAAGTTTGAAAGTTAGGCTAATCTTTTTACTGAAGCTTTTAGTATTCGTTTTATGGAAAATTTTTAAAGGTTATTTTTAAAAGCGCAGCTTTGTTTATTTACTCCTTAATCCTATGATTTTTAGGATTTTTAGAAACCTTAACACATTTGTGTTAAGGTTTCTAAAAATCCTATTTACTTTATATTTATAAACTTTATTTTTTAGATATGAATATTAACATAAGTTACGTGTTTTACTTCAATGTTTTCATGTGGCAGATTTTACAAATGTACCAGATTCTAAAAATGTTGCAAATCATCTTCACAACAAATATTTGATTCTGCAAATCTATAGAATACAATAAAATGTTGCAAAGCGATTTTTAATGAACTTTACGCAAAGTCTGGTCTTCAGTGTCAGTTAATTGCTCAGTTAATTGTTTTTCTGCAAGTCTTCGCATCCTTATAATTTGATAAGTTTGTAAATTATATTATACTACGAAAATTGATTTTGTAATATAAAACTTTTTTTTAATAATGAAAAAGAAAAAAATGAAAAAAAAAAACCGTTATTGCCGTTATTATGTAGATTAACTATTTTTTAAAAAATGTACAATTTTAAACAAAGGTGGAGATATATATTGTAATGATCTTGACGCATCATACTTGTTTTAATATTATTTTGCTTGTCATTTGTCAAAGGGCAAAAAACGTAACTCCAAAGATGGTTGACAAACCGTGAAAAGATACATGTGACAAGATGTATTTATTATACATGCATAAAAAAGGTATTTGGAAAAAAAATTTCATTTATGTCACATGTTTTGCTAAAGAAGAATAAAAAAATTGCTTATCGTTATTTTTTCAAATACAAGAGGGAGGTCTTACCTCACCCCACCAACAATATATTGTCAAAAGATTATACAACAATAATATTAACTTTAATCAAAAAGGCCTTGAAGCCATATTGAGACTTTTGAAGCCATACCGAGATTTTTGAGGCCATACCAAGAACTTTGAAGCCATACCGAGAATTTTGACTAAAAGAAAACTTAGTTCCTGATATAGTTTTGTTATGCAAACAGTCTAAGAATTACACCGAATGCTTAAACTAAACTTGATATTTAACTTCATTTAAACGCCTGCGTTAACGTCAAGCAACAATTACTTAGTATTGACTGACGTTTATATACGAAAACCATTGAATACATTTGCCGAACATTGATGCACTGTAATTAAATATGAATTACTTCCTAACCTGGAAGTAATTCATACATAGTGCTAGCGGATAATATACCAGTTTTTTAGACATTGTGCGTACAGAAACTTTTTTTGTAGGAACAACGTCGGTACAAAAAAAATTTCAGCGCCAAAATAATGAATCTATTCAACTAAATATTTTAAATGATTATGAGCAATAATGAGCAAGTTTAAAATTTGCAAAGTAGTTCATAATTTTTTGAATAAAATGATTAACAAATAGAGCATTTCACATAATCAGCCAATAGAAGAATTTCTAGTTGTGGTAAATAATGTGTTGTGCATTTCCCTAACCAAGTTTTGTTGCTGCAACCAACGTTTAGAGAATATATCTGTTTCTTCTACCAAAAAACTGTTCAAGCATTACAATTGACTACAAATTTTGGCAAATTCTGTATCAATATAGTAACGTCAGCGGAAAAAATGGAAACAGAAATGAAATCACTTACGGTCTATTCAACACTATTTCCAACCTTCTACGTACTTCTTTATAGTATATGCGCAATATTGACCCCGCCGCTTATACAACGCATCTACTTGTGTACAGCAACTTGTCTACTTGTGGTTTTCTTCAGTCATGTTGCTACTACGGGGATAATTCAACTCAAAACAAATGTTTATAAGCATAATTTTAAAAAATAAAATGTTATTTTACATTAAAAACATTTTATTTAAATAATAAAGTACGCTGATTTCCGCCAGTGTTTTAGCACTAAAAAAAAATAATACTAATAATAATAAAATGAAAAAAGAAAATTAAAACAAGAATTTAAATAAAATTATTTTATGAAATAAGTAAAAAAGTTTTCTTTGGTGGGGTGCGGGGTTATAAAATTTAGAAAACAAACAGTTGCACAGAACGTCGTCTGCGCAAAAAAGTGATATTAAACTAGGGTTGTTCGCCGAAAAACAAAACTTGCGAAAATTTCGCATTTTTATCTACCGTAATAGAATTGTTATTACGGAAGTTGCACATGCGAAAATGCACATTCCGTAACGCGCTATACGAAAATATAAATAAATAAAATTCCGTAATAAAGCATTGCGAAAAAAAACTTGCGAAACAAATCATTTCGTAAGAATACTTACGAAATAGTTCCTTACGGAAAAAGCATTCCGGAATGTGTAGTTACGAAAAAGACGCAAAAGATTTTATGTTACGATATATTTAAGATATTAACTGTTAACAGTTTAAATAATAAAATTATAAAAAAATGTTGTCAAATGATTCTTCAAATGTTTATACAAATATACCTAATATATATATATATATATATATATATATATATATATATATATATATATATATATATATATATATATATATACATTAACGGGATTTTACTGTATATATATGTATATATATATATATATATTCATATATATATATATATATATATATATATATATATATATATATATATATATATATATATATATATATATATATATATATATATATATGTATATATATATATATATATATATATATATATATATATATACATTAACGGGATTTTTACTGTATATATATGTATATATATATATATATATATATATATATATATATATATATATATATATATATATATATATATATATATATATATATATATATATAAATATATACTTATATATACAGTAAAATCCCGTTAAGTTGGACTCTCAATGAATAGATAAACAGTATGCCTTTCTTTTTAAAAAGTATAAAGAGGATGTGTGATAAACAATTAAATACTTTATTATAAAGAACGAGAGATCTCTCTCAAGGTAAATGATATCAGAAAGAGTAAAAAGAGAATAAATATATGTGAAACAGCGGGATATGAACCTGGGTCTACGCGGCCAAATGTCTTAACTGAATGAGCTATACGTTCATTCAACTAAGAGAATAGTAATATTTATTTAATATATAATTTGAAACTATATAAAACAGAATTTACAGAAAGAGATACGTATGCAAATAGGATTCTATATATCAGGAAAATGAATAGTAATGTGAACCTTTAGATGCTTATAATTAATATCTGGACTCAAAAACTAGTTACTTTTAATGGAACACAATAGGCTGTAGGAGCCTCAGGGAAATTATATTCAGAAATGATTATATTAGACTCAGAGTTAGCTAGAAATTATTACAAAGTATTTAGGACAGATGTCTAGTACAAAAAGCAAAAGGTTTAAAGCAAAATGAATTATATTATTTGAAAAAATTGTTTTACGTACATTTCATCATAATTTAAGTAGAACTTAGTAAAGCAAGGGAAACGTGTTGAATTAAGCACAATGAACTCAATCTTAAAAGAATAACTAACAGAAGAGAGGTTGTCACTATTGTGAAGGCGACGAAAGATCTGTAATATAGAACATGGAGGTCAAAAAATGCTATCTTAAGTAAAAAGAGTTTGATGAATAAAAGTTACAATGGCTGCGGGATGCGAATCCGGATCTCTGCGGCGAATTATCACGTATCTAACTGATTGAACTATACAATCTTATACTCAAATTTATATCTTATTAAAATTAAAAAACAAAATTTTCTATGATCTATACTTTGAAAAGCGTATTCAAACAGGACTCTACATACCTTTAAAATCTGCTAGAATTTTAGTAACGTGCACACTTTTAGAAATTATTGAAATAGGTATATTTTATCAGAAATATGCTTAAGCTAAAGCATATTTTTGAGCCTCTTTTTACTATTTGCTTAAGCATATTCGAACCTGTTTCAAAAATTTTATTACTACCCATCATTCTTATTTTTAATATACGTAATGAGTTCAAAAAACATCGTTGTTTATATTTATTATGGCACGTTTCGTAAGTTTATTTTTGCTAAGAATTCTTTCGTATGTTGTGATCCGAAATACTTTCGTTTCGAAAGAAATTTTATTTTTTATCAATATTTCTAAAAATAAAACCGTAAAAATTTAATAAGTTATTTTACTGAAAATAAAAATTCATTATAAACATTTTGGGATTTAAAGATGTTAATTTTTACAATTAAAATCAGTCTGGCAAACAAATTTTCTTTATAGACTTCAAAACGTTGTTTGGCAAAAATGTTTGTTTCGCAAGTGCGACTTCCGAAACCGCTACTTTCGTATGTTGCAAAATAGTTTTGTTTCGTATGTCAACTTGCGAAATGCTAAATTTCGGAAGTGGCTTTTGCGAAATGAACATCGGCGATTTTAAATGTTTTGTAACATTCGGTACGAAAAAATGTAATTCCGTGTTCTCAATCTCCTTACGAAAGAATGTTGTTTTTCCGGAATTGCACGAAATCCTCCGGTTAACAACCCTATATTAAACGTCATTTTAGAAAAAATTATATTTTGCGATTGTCATTTAAAAGACATTTTCTTTATAATTTGAATTGGAAAACGTTAAAATAAAGTTTTAAAACCACTTTAATAAACAATTTTAAAATAATTACCACTTAAAGATTTTCAAAACTAAAATAAATAAAAGATATTGATGATGTAAGGATGACCGCGCAATTTTTCACACTATTAGAATGGTAAAACAAGACATTTACCATATTTTTTAAAGTGTAAAAGTCACGAGTTTCAAATATATTTAAGACGAAATTAAAGCGCATGACGCTTGTCATTTGGTAATTAATAGTCTATTTACTTTTATATCAAAAGTCAATAAGTCATTAGAGAGGACAAACTAAAAACTTGATACGATTTTACTTATATTTGGCTTAGCATAATACGTATTTATAAGAAATAAATACAAGCAACAAAATGAAATTAAATTTAAACTATCCAAAGATCTGTTGTATGACAATACTTCAAATACTAAGTTTATATAAAAATTATTTTACGATATAGTCTCCATTACCCCGATTTTTTTCAAAGGAAATATTTTTTGTCTTTTTAAAGTGTTATAAGCAATAAACTTAGAAATAATTTTCTCTTATTTCCAATATAATTTTACGCTCAGGTTCTAAAAATACCTTCTAACATTTAAAAAATGTTTGATAATAATAATAATGAAATATATTTAATTTTTATTTAATCTTTTATTTCCAATAAAATAATTTAAATTCAATTTTAATATTGCTTGCTTAACGAGATTTCAATTTTTTTTTAAATCAAATCGTTTATTTTATGATTAAGTTTTGGAGGTAATTTATTCATAAATAAAAGGGCCATCACATAGTGAGCAAATAATGGTTTTAACTGCGATAAATAAAAGGGTCATACACACTAATTAAATAATGATTTTAATTGCGATAAAAAACAACTGCTTTGATATTAATAAAAATAAAAGTTTTTTTACTTTAGTTCTCAAAGTAACAAAAGTTTCCTCACTAAAGTTCTCGAAGTAACAAGAGTTTCCTTGCTTTAGTTCTCGTAGTAACAAAATTTTCCTCACTAAAGTTCTCGAAGTAACAAGAGTTTCCTTGCTTTAGTTCTCGAAGTAACAAAAGTTTCCTCACTAAAGTTCTCGAAGTAACAAGAATTTCCTAGCTTTAGTTTTCGAAATAACAAACTTAACAAAAACAGCTTAACCTGATGAAAGCATGAGGACCCAATGATAAATGTAATTGTTGGAAGCATGAGAACCAAAAAATGAAAATAATTTACGGCGGCGTGAGCACACAATGATTCAATTAATTATTGGAAGCGTATGGGTCCAATAATGGAGTTAGTTGGTGGAAGCATAAGGACCCAATGATAAAATTAATTAAAAGAACCATGAGCACACAATGATAAAATTAATTGATGATAGCGCGAGCAATCAACAATGAAATTATAAAATGGAAGCATGAGCATCTATATAATATGGTAATTAGAACTGATTGAAAAATTATAGAAGAGGAACTATAAGTAAGAGACAGTCATAATATGTCACAATCATAATTTACAGGTATAAATATTAGGCGAAGCTACAAAATATAAAAATTTGTTTTTAAAATCATATATAAATATTAAAATGTAAAAAATAAATGTTTAAATAAATTTTAAACACTTATTATAACTCTTTTTAAACATATGGAATAAAAATCAATATTAATTAAAAATATCTATAATAAGCAAAAGTTTAAAGCATATCTTTTTATAAATACAATATTAGCTTTTTATAATTCTGAAAAAATTTCAAAATTAACCTATCTAATCATACGTAATTTGAATTTCAAACTAAATAAGCTAATTATGCAATAACTTCATAACTTTGGTATTTCATTGCTTTAACTAATATAATGTTTTTTGCATTTATGCCTGATTAAATGTATAAACATTAAAGTGCATTTTTCAACTTAGGATTGACTCCAACTCAATTACAAAGATTGTACTGTTTTGGTTATTTATCTTATTTATTACTTTGCATGCACATAAAACGAAAATATTGCAAAAATAACAAAAAACAATAACAAAAGAAAATTATAAACCTTTTCTTTTTGTTATTTTTGTTATTTTTGTTATTTTTGTTATTTTTGTTATTTTTGTTATTTTTGTTATTTTTTGTTATTTTTGTTATTTTTGTTATTTTTGTTATTTTTGTTATTTTTGTTATTTTTGTTATTTTTGTTATTTTTATTATTTTCGTTATTTTTGTTATTTTTGTTATTTTTGTTATTTTTGTTATTTTTATTATTTTTGTTATTTTTGTTATTTTTGTTATTTTATTTTTGTTTTTTGTTGTTTTTGCTTTATATTCTTTTTAAGTGAAACAACATCTCTTTTTCAATTTCCTAATTTTTTAATGATATCTCTTTTAATGATACCTCCAACAAATTAAAATCAAGCTGTAAACATTTTTAATGACAACACGAAAATCTTTTGAGCAACAAAAAAGAATTTGATAAACAATTTTTTACAAGGTTGTTAATGAGCTTCGAAAAGACCTAACCCAAGCTTACTTTAACTCTAATCAGGTTTATACCCATTTTGAATAATTACAACATCATTTTTTTTTTTTTTTTTTTTTCTGATAAAAGTAACAGAATTAAAAATATTGAAAGTTTGACTAGCAACTACTTAACAACAAATCAAATACTAACAAATGAAAAGTGTAATTACAAAGTTAATTCAGCAAAAAAATTAAAAACCAAAATCATAAACAATTTCTAATAAAAACCTACATTGGCAAATTATTTTCGGTTTTTTTATCATAGCATAAGACAAATTATAAATTGTAAATTTGTGAATATATCGTAAAGAGAATATATCATAAAGTAACATAAAAGCAAGATATTGCATTGAGACAATATATCTTAGCAAACGTTGTTTTAGTGAATTTGCATTGGACCTATAGAGGCATTTTTTAGCTTTTCATCAAAGTTTATTTCATAGAATATTTGAAGGACCATTAGTGACAACCGTTTTAAATAGCAAGCCAATAACTTTCCGAAATGTTGATAGTGGCTAGTCAACGGCTTACCAATTTTAAAGACTGCCACCTAAAGTCCATTAAGTGAGCGATGAGCAATAATCCTCAAAATGTCTATATAGGTTCACTGAAATTCCAATATAAATGTTTGCTGGGAAGCTTGCTCTCTGGGATCATTAAATAATCAAGATTTTCCTTAGGAAAATATCTTGAAAAATATCTTTTCTACTTTTTATTTCAACAGGTTGATTTAACTAAAATTATTAATATAGATAGCACCGATTTTCAGGATAAATAAACAAAGGGTACAAGGCTGTGCATCGCTCACAGGTGGTTGAGAAAGTTATAAAATTTGTAGAATACTTTTGTAAGTGTATAATAAAAAATAATATTAAAACGAAATTTTATAAATAACATGTCATGAAAAAAAAAACACTTCATTGCAAGTTTTTATTTTTGAACAAATAAATGTTTTTCAACAAATAAATGCAAAGAGGCATTTATTTGTTGAAAAATTTACTAGAATATTGTCATAATTGTAAGAGGGTGGGAAAAAGATTATTGCTGCTTCTTTTTTCATAACCATTTTGGTTATGAAAAAGATTTTAATAATAATGGTTATCAGGTATGAAGTAAACAATAGACTTTGATAGAACGAAAATTAAATGCTATTAATTTTTAACCCAATAGACACGCTACGTTTTTTAAACATTCTTTGGACGTTTTTATGATGTTTAAACGGGGCACCCGGGTACCCGTTAAAAACAATCTTTTTTGTAAAAGTTTTTCTTTTAAAAAAATCAACCTTTTTATTTAATGTCATTTTCTTTATAGTTGTTCTATTTTATTTATATATAAAATTGTATTATACTTTAAGTGCCCATGTTGCACAAGCCAACAAAAAAATAAACAAGTTAGAGAAGTTCTGATTTACGTAAAAGAAAACATTGTACATAGCATTAAAAATTGAGGAATAATAAGTAACTGATAAAATGAAAAAGTTATCGTTACTATTGAAGGTTGTAACAACAAAATTTTAATAATCTACTGTCACAAAAACAATTTAAAATTATAAAATTGTTATATTATGATTAATGATTTTACACTTTAAAAATAAATGAAAAGATTTTTGAACTTATTAAAATGACGGCTACTCGTTATTTAATAATGCTACCCGGAAGTTACCCGATCCCCATTAAACGCAGGAGAGTACATCGGGATTCATATTTAAGACTTTCATTGCGTTCTTTTACGTAGAAATTAGGGCAAGCTTTACTCAAACAAAATAAAATGTTTAAATATACATTTTATTTTTATAAATATTTCCTATATAAAATGGAAAGGATTATACATACATGTATACATACATACATACATACAAACCTACATACATACATACATACATACATACATACATACATACATACATACATACATACATACATACATACATACATACATACATACATACATACATACATACATACATACATACATACATACATACAAACATACATACATACATACATACATACATACATACATACATACATACATACATACATACATACATACATACATACATACATACATACATACATACATACATACATACATACATACATACAAACATACATACATACATACATACATACATACATACATACATACATACATACATACATACATACATACATACATACATACATACATACATACATACATACATACATACATACATACATACATACATACATACATACATACATACATACATACATACATACATACATACATACATACATACATACATACATACATACATACATACATACATACATACATACATACATACATACATACATACATGCATACATACATACATACATACATACATACATACATACATACATACATACATACATACATACATACATACATACATACATACATACATACATACATACATACACACATGCATACATACATACATACATAAATATACATGTAACTTCAGACTCTTTTCAGACTATTAAAAATACAATAGATTGCTTTTAGACAATCTAAAGTAGTTTCTTTTATCTTTGTGAATTAGAAATCCTTTATGGGTGGCATGACGTATCTTATTCAAAGTAAAAGAATTTTAAAGATATTAACCGGATATATGGAAAAATTCGGAAGTTTTTAATCCGACTTTATATCGCAATACAATCAGTTAGCCCCTCACAGCTGATTGGCGAAGTTTTCAAAAACTTTTAGTTTTCAAAAAAATATAGAGAAAAAAGTATATATTAAATGACAACACGGTTAAGTATTTATTTAATGATAAAAAACAGCATAAACATTTATATTATAGTTTCTTTTATAAAAACATACATATCACATTATATGCAATCTTATTTGTGACATCACTTAAAAAATTAGCCGCGAAAGATTATGCAAAATACTTGATAAAAATGTGTAATCAATACCTTTTGAATGATATCTTTTTTATAATAATATCGCAACGATCTGCTCAATTTGTCGTAGTTCATGTTATACTTCTGTTTTCGTTTGCCCCATTTCTTTGCAATAACTTCGCAATTTTTTATTTTGAACTCGCCGTTTTTTTCGTCTGTCCATTCAATTATCGATGTAAACGAATCATCCATTAACATTTCAAGTAAAAATTCCCATAAATGAACCAAACATCTTGGAGCTAGGTATAATTATATAAAATAGGTTGTAATAAAGAAATATGGAGAAGAGTCTCGGTATCTGTTATTAGCTAATAGTTTAATACCTAGACTAAACACTTGCACAATTAAATGAGTTTAAAATGGAAAATTTTATTTATTAAATTTATTGAGCGCAACGAGCGCTTGTATAAACATGAGCGCTTGCCACTAAAAAATTAAAAAATAATTAAATAAAGTTTAAAAACTTTTTAAATTCTAATTTTGTGAAGAATTATTTATTTGTAATAAAATTTTAAAATATTTTTAATTAAACTTCCTTTGTGAGAACTTGAAATATGCAAGCTGTAAAGAAGGTTGAATTAGTTGCACTTGTATCTATGCACATACCTATTTTCTTTATATGTATATATACAGTTCTATGTGTTGGGCAAGTCTATACCTTATGTATATGTATAGATATATACAAATAATAAAGAGGTATCTTTAGGATACAGACTTTATGTTGCAAAACCTATACTAGTTATTTAAGTAGGTCATTGCACCTGCTACTTTCTCATATTCAACTGAATTCTTTTTCAACCTATCAAAAGAGTTTAGTCGACTAGCAGAAACTTATATTTAATACAAAAATAGTTAAAACAATATTGAAAGACATGCTGAGTTACAAGCAGTTTGTCAAATAACAATAAAAACACTTACGTTTTTTTAAAATTTGGTCATCTGGTTTAGAAAACATATCTGACTGAAAAAATTGCTGGATCAAAATCTACTACGGTTAAGTTTAACAATATTACACCAAAACTTCTTTTTACTTTGTCTCAAAATGTGCACATACAACTCAATTTATATTTCAAATAACTTGAGGGATATCTGAGAATTTATTTGTTAAATATTAAAATTTGAAACTACTCCTATACCTTACAATATATACGTCACTCCCACGCATAATTTTAATCTCCTTATAATAGAGAATGATTATGGCGAGAGAATTTAAAATGACAAGGGAATTTTAACGTCACAAAGAAATTTAGTTAAAATATGTAAATTTCTAATTGTTAATGAACAGTTAATCTACTTATTCAACAAGCTTATTAAGTTATAATTTAAACGTATTTGAATTCAATAAAACAACATTCTCAAGACAAAGTCAGTTATCATTTTTTTTGTTCAAAAAAAGCGTATCAGTAGTAGCGATCATTTAAATAAAAACAACAGGATTCAATACAATCGAAGGAGTTTTCGGAGTAAAATATTTTGTACCTCAAAGATACCTCTCTACTGTATCAGTCCTTATTGATTTTTAATGCTTTAAGCTGTTTAATACTTTTATAGGTAGTCTCGACTACATTCAAAGGTGCATATGAGGTTTTACATTAACATACCCAGAATTTGAAAGAGTTTTTCAGAAGGCTTTTATTTGAGATTTCTCTTTCTAAATTTCTAAATCCAAATTTTTTTAGAAAATAGCCGTAAAATGAAGTTACTAAGTAACTTCCTTTCTGGTTTTAATTTGTGAACAGTTATTAAAGTTTAGTCAAAACATATCAACTAAAAACAAAAGAGAGTTTAAACTATGAATAATTACAGTTTTTCAAAAAGATCACAAAAATCTTACAAAAAGCTATGTTTGGGTCAATAAGTGAAAAATGTTAATGATCCTGAGACGTTCGGCTTGTACCTTGACGTTTGCCTTATATACAGGATTTTTTTAATGCAACATAATCAAATAATGCTTTTAAAAAGTTAAATGAGAAAAACTTATAAAAAAGCAACATAGGTAATTATAATCATTTTATGCGCCGTCTTCAAAAGTTTTTTATTATTCAAGTCTTGTATTAAAATTCAAAAAGTTAAGGATAGACCAAAATAATTCTGATTTTTCAATATATTTTTCAATTGTTTTTTTTACATTTGTTTAACTAAATTAAATATAAAAATAAATACTTTATATATATATATATATATATATATATATATATATATATATATATATATATATATATATATATATATATATATATATATATATATATATATATATATATATATATATATATATATATATATATATATATATGTATATATATATATATATATATATATATATATATATATATATATATATATATATATATATATATATATATATATATACCTTTTAGTCAATAAATTTATTAAATGACTCAAAGGTATATAAAAGTTGGTTCAATTTTTTAATTTAGAGTAAAGATTTTTTTTTTCGCTAACGTTTTTTTAAAAAAATAAATTGTTACGTATATTGTTTGTCTCTGAATCTTTTTTTATCGTTTAATCTCCCTTTAATAAGACTTTTATTGCATGTTAATAAATATTGTAATCTCAATTTATTTGTAAAAACCGACAAAAGCGCAAGAAATGCCTCAAGAATTTAATTGTTTTTATTTATCTGTCTTTAATTTGGAGGTACTACCGGTTTTTAAAAGAGCTTTTTTATTAAAAACCATAAAACATTTAATAAAAAAAAATTATCCAGAAATCTTTTTTCAGTTAAAACTTAATTAAATTTAAAAAGTTATCCACTTGTTGTTAACACGTAGCGCAGAAATCGTGCATCTTTATATATATCTTTTCATTTTTTATCTACATTTTTATTATTTGGTTAAATATTTTTAAAAGTACGATAAAAATAAACTTCTATATTAAAAGTTAATATCAAACTTCTTGACTGATTTTTAGCTTGAGATTTGTAGCTTCAAGGTATGGGAAACCAAAACCTGTTTTTATGTTCATGTTTATATGGAATAGTATTGTTTTACATTATTATTTCATAAAAGCAATACAAGTGATTTAAGAGTAAAAACAAAAAAAGTAAAGCCTAGATAGATAAAACGCATGAAATTTTTGTAAACGCTAAAAAAACTGTAAGTTGTATATTTCATTGAAAACTGTAAAAAAAACTGTAAGTTGTAAATTGTAAATTTCAATCACACAATTAAAATTAACTTTAAAACAACAAGCCCAAAACTGACTTAAATTCAAAACTGGACTGATTTAAATGTTAAACTTAAAGCCAAAACAAAAGCCTAGCATAAAGTTGCTACTTGCATTCGAAAATACAAAATCAACAGCCTAATTTAGATTCTTTGAAAAGAAACAACAAAAACTTGTTTTTTAATTTTAAAAAATTATTGGCCCAACGTAGTGTGCTAGCTATGGTTTATTTTTGGTAAGCAAGTAAATTTCATCAAGGGTTCAATTTTTACTCCAAAAAAATATTTAAATTCATAAATTTATGCCTTAAATAACAGTTAATTATGTATTGGGGCATAGTTAGGCTAGCAAAATTAAGACAATTTTCTTATTTTTAATTTTAATGTATTTTAATATTTTTATTTTTAATTTTAATGTATTTTAATATTTTATAATTTTAACAAAGGTAAAATTGAGTAAACAATAAATTTATTTATAAAGAGGTTTGTTCCAATATTTATAATAACGAGCTCTATAAATTGTAGAGGTAAAATATATAAAACTTAGATATAAAAATAAGGTCTTTAGATTATGTAAAAGGTTATCTTAACTTTTTCAAGACCACAGACTTCAATTTTTGCCATACGTTAAGGCTAATTATTAACAAAACTGTAAGTAGCAAGTGTTGTGACAATACAACCACATTTTGTAAAAATAGACCAAGGTTATGCGTAGAATCCAACAAAGTCAATAAGAAAATATGTATTTCTTTTTAAGGCCAAGTCCAAAACAATCAAAGCTAAACCCAAGATTTTCAAGGCCAAGACCAAGTCCAAGGCCTCAATTTTGGCCTTAAGGTAAGTCCAAGGCTAAGGGCAAGGCCAAGGACTAACAACTCTGCTTGATCCACAATTCCATTGTGGTGTGGTTGCACCTCTTTCTCTTTCTACAAATTCTACCATGGTCTTTATATATATATATATATATATATATATATATATATATATATATATATATATATATATATATATATATATATATATATATATATATATATATATATATATATGTGTGTGTGTGTGTATGTGTGTGTGTGTGTGTGTGGTGTGTGTGTGTGTGTGTGTGTGTGTGTAAGGGGCAAATTTAGAAACTAACTTCTGCAATTGATAAACTAATGCATAAATGTTTCTAATGAACTCGTAAAACTAATCAATAGGTATTGTGACGTTAGGTAAACGTTATAATCTTATCTTAAAGTTTATTATGTAAAAATCACTCACAGCGTCACTTTAATTAAACGGTCAATTTGTTTCATGTTTAACGATGTTAGATAGATTAATGACGTGTTAAGCCAAGATTTAATTATAAAATAACAAGGCGGAGAGAAATCATGGATTTGTATTATCTTTTATTGTAACGTCACATAATGCATGTTTTATGACGTAGAGTCACGACTGAATAAAGATTATTTTTATTTTCTTTTATGAATTTTTTCAAAAAGTTGTGTTAATATGGTTTTGTTAACAGTAAGTATCTACAATGATAGAAGACTCTTAAAAACGATAAGTAATATTTAGCTATAATGATACCAACTTAAAAAAAAGTATTATCGGACATCGAAATTATTTTGAAATTTATTTATATTTACTTTTATAATTTTAGCGTCTATATATTTTGTTTATATTGGGTTGCAAGGTAGGAATATTATTTGCTCTGTTAACTTTTAATGTGAGCGTACAAATATTTTTTATCATTTGTACGAGAACGTTTGTTTTCAAAATATATTTCTATACTTTTTTTAATTATTTAAATATAATGAAATATAAATGAGTACATAAAAAATATATATAAATCAGTTTATTAAATTTAAGTTAATGTGTATAATAATAGGGATTGCACTTTTACATATTTTGATGTAAAAACGCAAATTACTTTTTGGCGTAAATTGCTTTACATAACTCATAAAAAAATTTATAATTTACATTCAAAAGTAATTCGTTTTTTTTTTCATAAACGCGTAAAACTTAATTACTTAACAAGTTTTTTAAACGAGTAACTGTTACTTGAAAAACTAATTTACTTTTACGAGTAAAAGTTATTTGCATTTTTACTTTTACTTGTAAATGTAACTTACTTTTTATCTAAAGTAAACTACTTTGAAAAATAATTTTAGTTATAATTATGCACCCACTGGTAGAAATATTTCTTACGAAAAAAAAGTACACCAATAACGTATTACATCTTAAAAAACACCGTACCTTGTTCTGTTATGAGCTAGATTTTGAAAATTTTCTGTCAATATCTAAAAAAATAAAAGAGGGTTAAACAAGCTGGTCCAGAATTTTTAGTGTTTAAGATAGATAACTTCCAGAAATAGTGCTTTCCCAGTAAACATCGGATCAAAAAAAGACGTCTTTTGAACGTTCAAAAGGCGTCTAAAACGTTCAAAAGACGTCAAAAAACGTCCAAAACGTGTATAAGACGTTTAAAAGACGTCTTTTTTACGTCTGTGTTTGCTGGGTTCATAAAATTTTGTAGTAATCATACTAATGCAAAATTAGAATGTTTTAGAAAAAGTTGCGTCGATCAGAGACTGGAAACAATATTGAACCTAAAATTTGGGTCCTTGTGTCCTATGTATGGTTTTCATAATATCTTTAACTAGGTTAAAATTAATCAACAGATTTAAAATTTCATACAAAAATTTCATCTCGCCAAAAAGCTATTATTGTTTTTAGTTTATTATTTCCCAATTAACTCCAAAAAATAACATTAAAAAGTTACATCTTTTAAACGGCATATTTTTTTGGAATGATATGATATTTAAAATTTGTCCATAAATTTTGATTCTAACAAATATGAAAAGAAAAAAAAGTCATAAACGTTTTAAGGACGTTATGCTAGGGGCGTGTTCTTAGAGTTTTAATATGATTGGGTCCAATCACTGGGACACAAATAAAAATAAGATTTTAGTTTTTTGTTGTGGTTTTTCTGATATTTATTATAACAAATTGATAATAACTTTTTCATATTTTACAAAATAACTTTTTACAATAAATTATATATATATATATATATATATATATATATATATATATATATATATATATATATATATATATATATATATATATATATATATATATATATATATATATAGGCACTTCTGAAAACGTCTTTATTATCCGCGTACTTTGTTATATTTAATAACAAAGTACGCGGATAATAAAGACGTTTTCAGAATGAGTTCGTTTTTTAAATTTGGATAACTGGTTCCCAAGTTATGACAATTTTTGTTGGGCTCAATAACGCCTATTTTGCGTTTTCCTTTAGGATTTATGGCACCAAATTTTGATAATAAATTTATTTTTAAAATGCCATGAATGAGAAAGAGTTTCATTGAAGTACTTATGCTAAATTATCTTTATTGTTTTCTTTTCTACAAATCATTTTTCTCAGATTAGGAGCCCCTATGTAAGGATTCCACTGCTCGTTTGCCCCATTTGGGACAATTGGGTCAAAAGCTATAAAAAGCTTTGATAAAACCGTAAAAATTAACTTTAGTTAAAGAAAAAGAGCTTTTTCAAACTGTCAGAGTGAATAAATTCATTTATATTTATAAATATCAAGAAAATGCGTAAAAATCTTTGTTTCCCCCATTCAGGGCAATTGGGCCAAGAACAATCAAAGCTCTGTAGAAACAAAAAAAGTTAATTTTAGTTAAAAAAAAGAGCTCTTTCAAACTGTCAGAATAAATAAATTTTTATTTATAAATATTAGGAAAATTTGTAAAAATACACAGAGCCCGTTTTCCCATTATGGGGCAAATTGGGACAACAGTACAAAAAGCTCTGTTAAAACCGTTAAAAATGAACTTTACTAAAAGAAAAAGAATTTTTTTTTTAATTTTCAGAGTGAACGAATTCATTTATATTTATAATTTTCAATAAATAAATCAAAAATTTCAGGTTTTTTTTCTCCGAATCGAGGCGACTGGGCCGGGAACAATTAAAGCTCTGTAAAGACAATAAAAATTAATTTTAGTTAAAGAAAAATTGCTTTTTCGTATTGTCAGAATAAACAAGTTCATACACATTTATAAAAACCCAAAATATATGTAAGAGCCCCACTGCTCGTTTGCCCCATTTGGGATAATTGGGTCAAAGGCAATAAAATTTCTGTAAAAACTAAAAAAAAAACTTTAGTTAAAGAATGAGAGCTTTTTTATATTGTAAGAGTAAACAAATTCATATACATTTATAAAAACCTAACAAATATGTAATCCCAATGCTAGTTTGCCCTATTTGGGGCAATTGGGTCAAAGGCAATAAAATCTTTACTTAAAGGATAATCACTGCTGGAAAAAACACAGTAATCAAAAAATACACAAATCAAAACTAAGAAAAATACAAAAATGTATTTAAAATCATCATCCACCATTTCTTCTTGTTTGCATTGCACCACAATCTTACAAGCATTTCATTGTGTTTAAATGTTTCTGTAAGAAAAATGAATAAAAAATTTGATGATCATGCAAAAAAAATAACAAAATCTTTGTTTACATTTAAATAGTAACAATAACAGGTTCATCAACTAATAATACTATAGAAACTTTTAAGTGATTCTACCTTTTATAACAAGATCATATCTCTTTTATCAAAGTCAGATAACAGTGGAAATGTATAAATGCTTCCAGGTTCTGATTCGTAAATAACATCATATAATGTTTGCTTGATTTTTTTTCCAACTTTACCTATTTTAAGAACATCTGCTTTGCACCAAAAATACTCTTCTTCATCAACTTCTTTTATTTTATGAAGAATAACTTTACCAACTAAACTAAATGGATCATCTAATAAAGCCGGCAGAAACAGGACTTTTTTTTGTTTTGCAAGATGTGACATTCTAGAATCTTTTAACGTTGTAAACAACTTTTCTTTTTGTTTCTTAATCAAGTCATTGCGTTGGTTTTTTTCTTTTAATGTGTTGGATGTTTTTTCTGGTGGAGGCAAATTGCAGTTACCAATAACAGTCAACAGGTTCTCCATTAAATCACCTGAACTTAAATCAATACGTTTATTTCCAGAAACTTTAGTTTTATAAAACAGCTTTAACAAACATTTTCCCCCCATTACATAACGATAAAAATCTAATTGAACTCTAATAACCTTAAAGTATCATTTTCAATTTTTGAAGATTTATCTTTTGCTTCATCTGCTGTTAGCCAAACTTGTGATTTCAATTGAATAAGCTCATTTACAATATTTGCTTTTTTCAGCAATGCCTTCTTTTCTGTATCTGCTTTGAGTTGCTGTTTTACTATCAGAATAGAAGATTTCTTTGATATTAACTCTACTTGACGCTCTTTATACTTTAATTTCATTTTTTCAACACTATTAAAAGCTTTTCCAATTAAAATGTAACGCTCTTCTTCTGATTTTGCATCCAACCAATCTAAGGTTTTGTTTCTGTGCCACATTGTATATGCTTGAATTGTTTGTATTTTAGCATTGGGCTTTGTCCGAATAAGTAGATCCAGAATCGCAAAATCACTTTCTGAAGCTTTGTTAGTTGTTGGTACATTTTCAGCAGCCTTTTGAATTCTATCATCTGAGTTCCAATATTTACCTCCTGGGAGCTGATCAATTGCTTGTCTTTCTAGAATTATTAAAAACGCATAGGAAATTATTTCTAATGACTGCTGCACCAAGACATCAAATTCTATATTTCCAGTCTCCTCAAAAAGTTTTTCATAAAGTTTATCTTTATGTATTTTGACATCTCTTGGATCAAATACAGGTATTTGATTGAGCATTGGAGAAGCGTCTTTGCAAAGATCTGACAATTTCATTTTTAAACAAAATAAAAACTTATTCATACTAAGAATGTTTTTGTTTTCTTCAATGAATCTCTAAAGGGGACCAGTAATTAACTTATCAAAAATACCAAATGCACGAGATTCTGCTAAAAATAATAAATTTGATATATCTTCATTAACTGCCTTCAATAGATGGGATTCGGATTTGGCTATTTCTTCGGATTTGGCTATTGAGACAAAAATTCTTTTATAGATTCTGAATGATAATTTAGTGCAACACCATTATAAAACAAAATGTTGAACCTATTGCCTCTAAAAGGAGCAAACATACATGTGTCTACACCTTTTCAAATGAGAAAAGAATTAAAATATCCTGCCACACCAAGTTCATTGCTACCTCGTTTATGGAATGCTTTACATGCAGTACGTATGTGTCTTGCAGCCTCCGATTCAAAAGTTTTAAATGCAAAAATGTCTTTGTGATCATCACTCAGAGCTATTTTTTCAAATGAACTCAGTACTTTATCTGTCTCAGTTGCAAAGTTTGTTAAAAGGTGTAACTTACAAATAAAGTTTGACATATCCTTAAACTCATTTTTTTGTTTAGTTGTTAAATAATCCCAATGTTCTATAACTTTTGGTAACAATAGCTCCCTCATTTCTTTGAATTTACTATTAAAAAGTGGATTGACAGAACCTAAATCTGACATAGTTGTCTTAAATGAACAAATTAACTTTGAAAAATCTTTTTCCTTGTCTTTTGTGTCCAGAACAGCACAAATATCATCCAATGTTTCTGTTAAAGAACTCAAAGTAGATCCAGCATCACCAGAAGCCAATTCTGATAGCCCAAATGATAGCATTTTACCACTTTTGGAAGTCAACTGAAAGTTTTGATAATGTCTGTGATATTTGGTTGTTCCATCCCCATGCAAACAGTTTCCTGTGACTTTCTCAACATTATCTAACATTTCTTCTGATACTTGAATCTGTGCAAGAATTAAAGCCTCTGACATAAATTTAGATATTGTATCAACAGAGAGAAGTTTTGAAACTGTTTTTTTTGCAAGTTTCTTTAAAACAATTTTGATGACATCATTGACCTTGTCATACTGACATTTAATGATAACAGCTCCATAATAACTTCACGAATATCATTTAAATAACGCCCTCTTTCAAAAGTTACAATTTTCTCATCTTCCAACAACTTCAAAAGACCATTTAAATATATGTTTTCTTTGTTTAACGATTCAACTTTTGCACCAAGTTTTTTAACTTCTGGCTGCAAGAAAGTAAGGTCTTCAATTGAAGAAGCCGAAATTGATTCCTTTGTTTTATTTAAATTATTTTTCAAACGACATAACTTCTTTTGAAGATTTCTTTTTTCTTGAGATAAAATATCAACTTTTGTATTATTACTTTCTAGCATTTGATTAAGGTCATTGAATTCCTTATTTAAAGTTTGAGATTCGCTTACAAATTGGGCTTTTAATGCATCAATTTCTTTTTCTTGTTTTTCTAGCTTTATATCTCGATACAAAATCTTCTTGTTTAAATTTCGAATTCTGTTTGTTTTATTCTTAAGTTTTAATGTGGTAAATTTTTTTTTTAGAGCTGACTGCCGTTCATTCGTTGTTGTATATAGTGCTTTACACTGTTTGGACTGTTTTACGAATTCTAGTTTCTCTGCATTTCTGGTTTTTATAACTGACTTAAGTTTTTTATTTCCACTTTCAAGATTATTTAGCTGTTTATAGCAGTTTTTATAATTTTCTTTTAAATTGTCAACAGCTTCAACTTTGCGTTTTAAAGTTTTATTTTCGATTTTAAGATGGTCTAGGTCTTTTACGAGATTTTTTTCTTTTTTAGGTGATGTTGATAGTAAAAATGTTTGAATATTTGTTTCAGATATTGTTGGTATAAAACTTAAAAGCATAAATTCTTCTTTACTTTTTTTAGTCAGCAACCTACTTTTCTGAATAACTCTTTTTATTTTCGAAAACAAAATTTGAAAGTTGGAAGAAAATCGTTGTTTAAAAACTGTGCACACATTGAATAAGTTTTTTTCTTCTAAACTTTGATACCATAAATACAAATCTCTATTCTGCATTTTAAACAGCTAGATATAAAAAAGTTTTAAAATGGAAAGTGTTTTTGGTCTTTGTATACTAATTGAATTTCTGCATGTTGCAACCTTAATTAAATTGCCTTGTTTTTCAAACTTTTTTTTAAGTGATTTGGAACATTGCAATTCGGCACTTCTATCATCTAAATAAAAATCTACAATATAAAATTTGTTATTACTTTCGAATTATTATTATAATTTAGTTTTAATAGGAACTTGATAATAAAATTTACATTTTTTTGCATTCATCTAGTTGCTTCATTAGATTTTCCCTCTTCTTTGTAATACAAAAGGCGTGGGCTAATCCTGGTCCAATAACATTTAAACATCTTTTACAAACTTTACCTTGTCCAGGAGAGGGTAAAACTTTCATGTTGAGGTTTGGTCTTCCTTTTTTTCTATATTTGATCCACGTGTTAAAATACTACTAGCAGTAAGGTAATTATCATATTGGTTTCTAGTAAAAAAAGATTCTTTAATCTTAGAGAAAACAAATGGTTTACATAAAATTATATTGGTGTTTCTTTTTTCCATTTTTACTAAATTAGTTCGACATCTTCCACAAATTCCATTTGGAAAACGGTTATCATTTAAATTAATATTGCCAATGAAATATTTTTGAATTCTCAATAAAACTACACTTCCTTCTTGTATTTTACTTAAATTTTTTACTCTTTCAAAGCAAATTAAAAAAACTTTATTTCAACTTTGACTGTGACTTAGCCTTAAATACGCATTTTAAAAGTGAAATAATAATTAATATTTAAATTTTCAAAGCACTAACGATATTGCAAACGCAACAAAATGCAAATTACAATAATGCATAAAAATCAAAACTCGTTAAAACTAAAAGTGGTTATTAATTAACCAATTTCAAATATTTTAGCAATAAAGAATGATTTTGAGAATTAAATGGACGTGATACAAATTAAAACAGTAGTTTGTAAAAGTAAAACGTAACATTTTAAACTCGCTTTAGTAAAACATACAGAAGAATATTTAAAAGTTTCTATATATAATTTATTGTGAAAAGTTATTTTGTAAAACATGAAACAGTTATTTTTAACTTGTTATATTAAATATCACTAAAACCACAACAAAACTAAAATCTTCTTTTTATTTATGTCCCAGTGATCGGACCCAATCATATTAAAACTCTAAAACCATGCCCCTAAGGTAACGTCCTTAAAACGTGTATGACATTTTTTTTCTTTTTATATTTATTAGAATCAAAATTTATCAACAAATTTTAAATATCATTCCAAAAAAAAATGCCGTTTAAAAATTGTGACCTTTTAAAGTTATTTTTTGGAGTTAATTGGGAAATAAAAAACTTAAAACAATAATAACTTTTTAACGAGAAAAGATTTTTATATGAAATTTTAATTGTGCCAATTAATTTTAACCTAGTTAAAGATATTATGAAAAAATTTTTTTCTATTGTAACCATACATGGGACACAAGGACCCAAATTTTAGCTTCAATATTGTTTCCATTCTCTGATCGTCGCAATTTTTTCTAAAACATTCTAATTTTGCATCAGTATAATTAATACAAAATTTTATGAAAGTACCATTTCTGGAAGTTATCTATCTTAAACACAAAAAATTCTGGACTAGCTTGTTTAACCCTCGTTTATTTTTTTAGATTTCGACAGAATATTTTCAAAATCTAGGTCAAAACAGAACAAGGTACGGTGGTTTTGAAAATTTAATCCGTTTCTGGTGTACTTTTTTTTCCGAAAGAAATATTTCCACTAGGGTGTGTATGTAAAAAATTTACATCAATATGTAATTTACTTTTTAAATGTAAAAATAGTTATTCATGAAGTATACTTACGTAAATATAAAATTTAAAAAACATTACATTTATTTTACAAAGTAAAATATAACTACATCTTAACAACAAATTACTTTTACGTGTAAAAGTGACTAATAAGCAAAAACAGCTTGCATAAAAGTAATTTGAAAAATAATTGTTATTTACTTTTACAAATAAAAGTAAAATTTTTCTTTGAAATTTTATACTTTACTTTGTAATTTTTATACTTTACTTTGAAATACTTTACTTTGAAACACTTTTCTTTGAAATTTTATACTTTACTTTGAAATTTTATACTTTACTTTGAAATTTTATACTTTACTTTGTAATTTTTATACTTTACTTTGAAATACTTTTCTTTGAAATTTTATACTTTACTTTGAAATTTTATACTTTACTTTGAAATTTTATACTTTACTTTGAAATTTTATACTTTACTTTGTAAGTAAGTAAAATGTAAGTTATATTTTTTACTTTCTCAAAGAAGAGTCATTTCATGTTGGTTTAACAAAAATTTTGAGATATTATTATCGTATTCAAATCCATTGCCTGTTTGAGGGCACTTCTGGGTAATACTTCAGGTATTACTCTCATGTATGTGGGTATTGTTTGTGGTAGAGCATTGGGA